TTTCATTCAGTCCACAGGTTGCATACCAAAAAAAAAAAAAAAAAAAAAAAATAGGATAGACAGTAATACCTCGGTTTATGAATGCCTCTGTTAATGTAATTTTCGGTTTACGAATGAAAATCCATTGAAAATAATGCCTCAGTTTACGAATTTTTTTCCACAATACTAAGTATGTCAGTGCTGATTTTTAAATGCAATTGCCGTTTTTTTTTTTTTTTTCATCAATATAGCTCACAACATTAGTTGTCTATTTCCTGGGGCTAAAGGATACTTTGTATGTTTTAAGAAACTGAAAGGAAACATTGTATCTTTTAACTTGTGGAAATAAACTAAAAGAAACTCTCTTAGCTGGAGGGGGAAAGTGACTGCTGATTTTCTGAACTACTGTATAGCGAAGGCAAAAAATGGTAATTGCATTTAAAAACTGGCACCTGACAGCTGAGTGAATTGCCCGCAATTAACTTTTTTTAATTACCAGCAATTTTTACATTCATCTGTAAGTGGGGAACCCCGCTGACAATTAAACATTAACACATGGTTGGCACTACTAAAATACCGCATAAGTTAATAAAATAACTCATGCGGTATTTTAGTAGTGTGTACTGTTTTTTTTCTGACCTTCGGAACGGATTAATTGGTTTTCAGTGCATTTCTATGGGAAACAGTGTTTCGGTGTACAAATTTTTTGCTATATGAAATGTCCTGCAGAACGAAATAAATTTGTAAACCGAGGTACTGGTACATCACTGGATTTTGAATGGTTATACCAGGATGATGCCTACAGCTGCAGGCATCATCCTTGTATCGTTTTTTTTCAGCTGGCAAACAGCTTTCATGTAAAAGCAATCTTAGTGGCCAATTAGCTGCAGGATTGCTTTTACAAGCAGCAGAAGACTATGCTCCCCCACTGCCTTCTCAGGCAGTCCTGTACCATCGGGGCAACCTGAGAATGCAGCCAGTGTTTCTGCTAGCTGACCATAGAGCTGACTGGAGACCAGAATGGTGCCAATCATCTCTATAGCCTAAGAAATCGGAAGCTACGAGCATTTCATCACTTCAGTTTCACAGGATATAAACAACGCTATTTGTAAATTGGGAAAGCATCTGATCACACCGATCTTGGTTTGATTAGATAATGTAAGGGCAGAGGAGATATCTAGAGTGATAGAACCCAGATTTCTCAAAAAAGAATATATGACAATGCCCATTGAAGTTATAGGGGATATTTGCATTCCCTGTGATAGCACTGAAAGTGATCAAGTGAGGTATCGCCACAAACATCAGATCATGGGCAGTAATTCTAACACTAGACCTCTGTAATTCTAAAATAGTAGCTTGTAAAGGCTATTAAAATGTTGCCTATGGATATTAAAAACGTATGCAGTTTGTCGCCATTGTACGGGGCATGCGCAGTTTTAAAGCATGTCATGTTTGGTATCCATTTACTCGGCATACCATCATTTTTTTATATTTTATTGGCCAATATTTAGTGTTTTTGTGCATTAAAAAGTAAAAAAAAAAAAAAAAAAAAAGTGTATTTTAAAAAATAAAATTGCTTTCGAAAAATCACTGCGCAAGTACTATGACATAAAAAAATTGCAGCACCCACCATTTTATTCACTAGGGTGTTTGCTTTAAAAAAAAAATATATAATGTGTGTGGTTTAAATTAATTTCCTAGCAAAAAATACAGATTTTTTTTCATGTGAACAAAAAGGGTCAGAAAAGGTTTGGTCTTCAGGTGGTTAGCAGAGTGAGTGATGTGTGGCATAAACTTTCTAATGCTGGGCATAAAATGCCTCCACCCCTGGAAAGTAGACACCCCAAACTATTTGCTGTGAGGCATGTTGAATCAATAGAATTTGTAATTTTCCAAAAATTTGTGGTAAAATTTTTTTTTTTTTTTTTTTTTACACAAAATTGTCACTTAAATGATTTATTGCTCACACTTGCCATGAGTATATGTGGAATTACTCCCCAAAATACATTCTGCCACTTCTCCCGAGTATGGGGGTACCACACGTGAGACGTTTTGGCAGTCTAGCCAAGTATAGGACAACAAAATGCAATAAGCACCTTTAGGCTTTTAAAGGGCTTTATTTCCTCTTTACACTTCCCGACTATCTATCACTGTTTCGGAGGCCCTGAAATGCCAGGATCGCACCAACCCCCCCAAAATGACCACTTTTTGGAAAGTAGACACCCCAAGGAATTTGATCAGAAGCATGGTGAGTATTTTGCAGATCTCGTTTGTTGCCACAAGTTTTTGAAAATTGAAGTAAAACCAAAATATTTTTTCTTTTATATTTCAAAACCTTGTGAGAAAAAATGATCTGCAAAATACTCATCATGCCTCTTTTTAAATTTCCTGGGGTGCCTACTTTCCAAGAAGGGGTAATTTTTTTTTTTTGGGGGGGGGGGGGGGGGTTTGGTGCTATCCTGCCATTTCAGGGCCTTTGAAACTGTGATAGGTAGTGAGGAAGTGAAATTAGGAAGTTGCGCATCTTCAGGCTTTCAAATGTGGCTAGTCTCACACATGTGGTATCCCCATACTCGGTAGAAGTAGCAGAATGTATTTTGGGGTGTAATTCCACATATACCCATTGCTTGTGTGAGAAATATGTAATTTAAATGACTTTATATATAAACAAAAAAGTAAACTTGTGGGAAAAAAAATAAATCTTCCATGGACTCAATATGCCTCTTAGCAAATAGCTTAGGGTGTCTACTTTCTGAAAAGGGGTCATTTGGGGGTGTTTGTACTGTCCTGGTCTTTTAGCACCTCAAGGAATGTGATGGGCAGTCAGAAAGTAAAAGCTGTGTAAATTCCATTATCTATACCATAGTTTGTACACGCTATAACTTTCACACAAAGCAATCAATATACACTTATTTGGATTTTTTTTAACCAAAAACATGTAGAATACATTTTGGCCTAAATTTGACAATTTTAGTTTTTTTGGATATTTTTTATGACAAATGAGAATATAGTTTTTCAAAATTCTTCTTAAAATTTGCTTATAGCGCCAACAATAAAAAGTGCACAGGTGATAAAATACCACCAAAATAAAGCTCTATTTGTGTGAAAAAAGGACAAATTTCATTTATGTACCATATTGCATGACCGCGCAATTGTCTGTTAAACTAGTGCAGCGCTGTATAGCAATAAAATGTTGTAAATTGCAGTATCTATACCATAGTTTGTAGATGCTATAACTTTCGCATAAAGCAATTAATATACACTTATTGGGATTTTTTTTTACCAAAAACATAGCAGAATACATTTTGGCCTAAATTTATAACTAACTTTGTTTACTATTTTTTTTTTTTTATAGCTGAAAAGTAAAAAATATTGTTTCTTCAAAATGTTTGGGTTTTTTTTTTGTTTATAGGGCAAAAAATAAAAAGTGCACAGGTGATTAAACCCCTTCCCGCCGATGCCTCCCGGCCCTTTAAGAGATTCAGATGCCGGGAGGCGGGGGGCGGTGTTTAGGAATCATGTGACCGCCGTGATGATGCGTCACGGCGGTCACATGATCGGGAAAGGTCCCGTTCGAAAGAGCGGACTGGGACCTTTCCGTGAGTACCACACATGTGTGCTGGGAGCGCGCAGGGCGCGCGCTCTCAGCACATATGTATTTAGTTACATGGACGCAAATGTGCGGCCGCTCGGCGTCTAGGCCCAGACGCCGGGAGGCCGCACATTTGTGTGCGGCCGGCGCAAAGGGGTTAAATACCACCAAAAGAAAGCTCTATTTGTGTGAAAAAGGACTTAAATTTCGTTTGGGTGAAGCATTGCATGACCGTGCAATTACCAGTTGAATTAGTGCAGCGCGGAGTAGCAAAAAGGCCTGGAAAGGAGGGGGGGGAGTAAATCCTCTGGAGGGCAAGTGGTTAAATACCACCAAATGAAGGCTCTATTTGTGTGAATAAAATGGTAAAAATGTCATATGGTAGTGTTGTGACAGCGCTGACATTGACCTTGGCAGGAACGAGGTAAAAATGCCCAGCACGTGGTTAAAGAAAAACACACAATGTCCTGAGAAAAATGCATGACTTGTAACACAGGCATGAATCAGGCCTAAATGCAGTTTCTGGTGTGAATGGGCCCTAAAGGACAAAAATGCACTGTGTGGATGGCACCATTGAACGATCAATAAAAGCACATTCCAATTAGAAATAATTAGTGGCGGTGTGAAGAGGGCCTCGGAATAAATAGAAATGATATTTCCCACACCGTGCTATCTAGGATTCTGAATAATGCGTTCGTGTAAAAGCTCAATACTGGTTCCGCACAATAGCCGACATCCTGGTATCAGTGGATTTCTGCTGGAAGCTCTCCAGTCACACAGCCCCGCTCTCTAGAATCATCTATGTGAGCGCGGGAAACTACAAGCGAAATTTGGCGCCAGCATCCTTCACCAGCCGAGAAGCCCTCCTCATGTCACTCGCAGCCCCGCTCTGTCTGACGTCAGGTGTGTGGAAGGTGACGTCTTCCATTCATAGAAGGATGAGAATGTGTCAAACAGCAGCAAGAAAGACCGTCTCCTCCAAAAGACGCTCGAAGGACCGTCTGACGTTATTGTCCTCCAATCAGCAGCCTCCGTTCTCCGAGGAGTTTTCCTTGCACACGCTTCTATTGGTCCTGCGGTCTGCCCGTCTTATAACGCTGGAGCTGCCGCCTGGAGTCGTGAATGTGATTGGCTGCCATCAGGCGCGAAATGTAACGCGGGAAAAAGAAGAGAAGGACTGAGCGGCCGCCGCCTCCTCAGCCCTGCAGTCAGTGACAAGTGTAGCCGGGCGCCTGATCTTCCCTATTGGATTTGTCGGATGGGTTGTACACTGCCAGAGAACAAGGCGCGCTCTCCTGCCGGTGTCCCTCAGCATGATGTCTGACGTGTGCTCGTCTCCGGTCCTGCGCTCTTCTCCTTCATCTCAGGACTCGTCTCCTCCCCGCCCGGTGCTGGTGTCTGTCATCAAGGCGGTGTCCCCCCACCACCTCCGCCCACACACCCATCAAACCCCGCCGGCCGCCCTTCTCTGCCACCCCGCTTAGCCCGGTCCCCACCAGCCCCGGCTTCAGCGACTTTATGGTGTACCCGTGGAGGTGGGGGGAGAACGCGCACAACGTCACCCTTAGCCCCGGACCCCCGGCCAGGCTCCCTATGCACCCTGCCGAGCCTGGCCAAGCTGCCCGGGAGCCCGTCCATGATGCCATCAGCCCCGGCCTGGCCAGGAGCAGCGGAGGAGGAGAGGAAGGAGCTCTGAGGGTGAGCACTCTACCTGCATCCATGCCTCACTAGGAGGAAAGGCTTAGAACATCGCTCAGCTCTTGTTACTGCTGTGTACCCATTAGGGAGAGTTTAGTCATCCTGTGTACTAGAGAGAACCCCACGATTCACCAGAGGGGAACTCTGCCAATGGGGACACTAGTTCTGGTGACTCACTTCCGGTTGTGGCTCTGGGACAGGAAGTAGAGGGAATCTCCCAGCTGGGATACAGATGGCAAAATACAGACAAGGGTTAGAACTCTCCCTTTATCCAGAATGGGAGGAAGGTTTTCCTTTTAGTTCTACTTTAATGGGTTAGTTTGCCTATTAAAAGATGAACTAACACCCTGCAGTCCCGTTCCAGCCTCTCTCCCCCCTCCCTGCTGTACTTACCTGTGTAGGTAGTGAGCTGTCAGTGCCCACACAGCCAGTGTAACAGTCCACATTTGAAATTCTTGCCCTTCTCTGTGCAAGGCTTCCAGGATGAATCAAAGTGATTCTCTGCACCAGCACCCACAGAGGTACATACAGCAAGGACTGGGAGGGTGTACTGGCTACTTCTCTGGGTGATGAGCTGTGTTTTGTGTTGGCAGAGAAAGCTCATTACCCACAGAGGTAAGTACACCAGGGAAGGGAGGGGGGCTGGAACAGGACTGTAGGGTGTTGCTTCATCTTTTCAGAATAGGCAAACTAATCCTTTAATGTAGAACTAAAGGAAAAACTAACACTCTGCAGTCCTGTTCCAGACCCTCTTCCCATCCCTGCTGTACTTACCTGTGTAGGTAGTGAGCTGTCAGTGCCCACACAGCCAGTGTAACAGTCCACATTTGCAATTCTTGCCCTTCTCTGTGCAAGGCTTCCAGGATGAATCAAAGTGATTCTCTGCACCAGCACTGAGCAATCAGCAGTGCTCTGATCTGTCCTGGAAGCCTTGCAGAAAGTAGTGGGATATGCACAGGGAGTTCAGATCCTCAGACTGCTGCACTGGTTACCCAAACACAAGATGCGGGTAAACACGGTACATACTTTTTACAAGCCTGTTTTTGGCCAAAACACTGCTGGCTTTTAGGAGAGTTAAAATCAATTGCCAGTGTGCTTGAGGCCTTTAGCTTCCAACTACTATGCTTTTGGGCTGATGGCCTCAAAGTATAACTAAAGATAAAACTTTTTTTTTTTTTTAACATTTGGATGATGTGGAGAGGTAATAGAACCCCTGTCAGATGTTTGTTGCTGTCGGTACTCCCATTTGGGGGCGCTTCACTTAATTGTCCTTATCACCAGTGTCTCCAGGCAAAGAAGTGAAAGTAAGGCATCATTCATAGGGAAGCCTAGGCCTGTGTGATGTGAAGGGCCATTTGTTCATTTTTGGAGCTGTGCAGGCAGCCTGTGTTGGTCAATGGAGACACAGCAGCTGTATGGACTCGCCTGTATATAAGTTTGACATGAATGGAGCACAGCTTCTAATGCACCCTGTCTGCTCTGTGTTGCCCACCTGTCCTTAGCTGTTAGGCGTGGATGTGTGTGTCTGTAAAGCCACTGCATCTCCATTAACATAGGCTCTTTTACCCCCTTCCTGCACAGGCCAATTTTCAGCTTTCAGTGTTGTTGCACTGTGAATGACCATTGCGCGGTCATGCAACACTGTACCCATAAAAATTTTTTTATCTTTTTTTCACACAAATAGAGCTTTCTTTTGGTAGTATTTAATCACCACTGAGTTTTTTATTTTTTGCTAAATAAACAAAAAAAAAACCCTCCTTTTTTTCTTCGTTTTTGTTATAAAAGTTTGCAAATTAATAACATTTCTTCATAAATTTTGGTCAAAATGTATTCTACATTTCTCTGGTGAATATACCCCACATTAGTGTATATTATTTAGTCTGTAGTAAAGTTAAAGTCCACAAACAATGCTGTGTGTGTGTGTATATATACAGTCAGATCCATAAATATTGGGACATCGACACAATTCTAACATTTTTGGCTCTATACACCACCACAATGGATTTAAAATGAAACAAACAAGATGTGTTTTAACTGCAGACTGTCAGCTTTAATTTGAGGGTATTTACATCCAAATCAGGTGAACGGTATAGGAATTACAACAGTTTGCATATGTGCCTCCCACTTGTTAAGGGACCAAAAGTAATGGGACAGAATAATAATCATAAATCAAATTTTTCACTTTTTAATACCTGGTTGCAAATCCTTTGCAATCAATTACAGCTTGAAGTCTGGAACGCATAGACATCACCAGACGCTGGGTTTCATCCCTGGTGATGCTCTGCCAGGCCTCTACTGCAACTGTCTTCAGTTCCTGCTTGTTCTTGGGCATTTTCCCTTCAGTTTTGTCTTCAGCAAGTGAAAATGCATGCTCAATCGGATTCAGGTCAGGTGATTGACTTGGCCATTGCATAACACTCCACTTCTTTTCCTTAAAAAACTCTTTGGTTGCTTTTGCAGTATGCTTTGGGTCATTGTCCATCTGCACTGTGAAGCGGCGTCCAATGAGTTGTGAAGCATTTGGCTGAATATGAGCAGATAATATTGCCCGAAACACTTCAGAATTCATCCGGCTGCTTTTGTCAGCAGTCACATTATCAATAAATACAAGAGAACCAGTTCCATTGGCAGCCATACATGCCCACGCCATGACACTACCACCACCATTCTTCACTGATGAGGTGGTATGCTTAGGATCATGAGCAGTTCCTTTCCTTCTCCATACTCTTCTCTTCCCATCATTCTGGTACAAGTTGATCTTGGTCTCATCTGTCCATAGGATGTTGTTCCAGAACTGTGAAGGCTTTTTTAGATGTCGTTTGGCAAACTCTAATCTGGCCTTCCTGTTTTTGAGGCTCACCAATGGTTTCCATCTTGTGGTGAACCCTCTGTATTCACTCTGGTGAAGTCTTCTCTTGATTGTTGACTTTGACACACATACACCTACCTCCTGGAGAGTGTTCTTGATCTGACCAACTGTTGTGAAGGGTGTTTTCTTCACCAGGGAAAGAATTCTTCGGTTATCCACCACAGTTGTTTTCCGTGGTCTTCCGAGTCTTTTGGTGTTGCTGAGCTCACTGGTGCGTTCCTTCTTTTTAAGAATGTTCCAAACAGTTGTTTTGGCCACGCCTAATGTTTTTGCTATCTCTCTGATGGGTTTGTTTTGTTTTTTCAGCCTAATGATGGCTTGCTTCACTGATAGTGACAGCTCTTTGGATCTCATCTTGAGAGTTGACAGCAACAGATTCCAAATGCAAATAGCACACTTGAAATGAACTCTGGACCTTTTATCTGCTCATTGTAATTGGGATAAAATGAGGGAATAACACACACCTGGCCATGGAACAGCTGAGAAGCCAACTGTCCCATTACTTTTGGTCCCTTAACAAGTGGGAGGCACATATGCAAACTGTTGTAATTCCTACACCGTTCACCTGATTTGGATGTAAATACCCTCAAATTAAAGCTGACAGTCTGCAGTTAAAGCACATCTTGTTCGTTTCATTTTAAATCCATTGTGTTGGTGTATAGAGCCAAAAATGTTAGAATTGTGTCGATGTCCCAATATTTATGGACCTGACTGTATATGTGTGTGTGTGTATATGTGTGTGTGTATATATATACATCATACACACACACACACACACACACACACACTATGGAAGCCTAGGCCTGGGTAGTTTGGGGGGTATTTGTACTATGCTGGTGTTTTTGGGCCTCAAGAAAGGAGAATGGCCATCATTACATTGATCGATTGTCAGAGATATATATATATATGTATATATCTCTGACAATCGATCAATGTAATGATGGCCATTCTCCTTTCTTGAGGCCCGAAAATGCCAGCATAGTTCAAATACCCCCCCCCCCCCAAATTACCCATTTTGGAAAATGGCTCAAGCTATTTAGTAAGAGGCATAGTGAGTTTTTTTTGGTGGTTGTAATTACAATTTGTTGGAAAATGTAGAAATTAACTACATGCCGCCCAGCCACTGTACATATACGGCGGCAGGGCGGCACTCGCAGGCAAAACCACGTTTTAAAACGTGTTTTGTAAAACAAATAGGAGGCGCGCCGCCGCCCTATCTGTCCCGCCGATCACCGCCGCAGATGTCAGTCGCCGGGTCACAGGCGCTCCTTAGCGGCTGTTTCCCAGCGATCGGCGGCAAACAGTGACAGAGCACAGCTGCAGTTGCTGTGCTGTCTGTCACTTCCCTGTCAGCTCGAGGATGAGCTGATCGAGAAAGAACAGAACCGTTTCTCTTTCTCCATCAGCCTTGTCCCATCCAGTACACAATCCCGCCCCCTAGTAAAACACTCCCCTCACTCCTATAGCCCTTCCCTGCAAAATAAAGTTAACCCCTTCCTCCCCATTGCCATTAGTACAGTGTCAGTGTTTTTTTTTTTTTTTTTTTTTTTTTGCACTGATCACTGTATTAGTGTTTTTGGGGATGTCAGTGACCCCAAGTCAGTACCCCCCAATGTCCGAATGTCCGCCGCAGTCCCGCCATAAGTTGCTGGTCGCTGCCATAAGTCCCTGATCGCCGCCATAATTCGATGATCGCCGCCATTATTAGTATAAAAAAAAAACTAAAAATCCCAGTATCTTTCCCGCCATTTGTAAACGCTTTCACGTAAACCAATTAATTTACATGTATTGGTTTTTTTTTTTTAGCAAAGACATGTCGCAGAATGCATTTTGACAGAAATTTATGACTAAATTTTATTTTTGCATTTTTTTTTACTGGACATGTTTTATAGCAAAAAGTCCAAAATATTGTTTTTTTTTCCCTCAAAATTGTCAGCCTTTTTTTTTTTTATAGCGCAAAAAATAAAAACCGCACAGGCGATCAAATACCACCAAAAGAAAGCTCAATTTGTGGGGGGGAAAAAGGATGTAAATTTCATTTATGTACCATATTGCATGACCGCGCAATTGTCCGTTACATTGGCGCAGCGCTGTATAGCAGAAAAATGGCGTAAAT